TAAAAAAAAAATCTATTTAATGAATAATCGTTGTTTTTTTGTGTGTTTTATCAGACATAAAAAATGTGAAATGCCTTTTTTTAGGAAAATGAGTGAATTGTCCTCATTGATCCTTTATTTGAAATTAAAAAAATCATCATTTCACAAATACTGATTGAAAAAGAAATAATGAGTTGTGTTATTGAACCTTTTACCTATCATTTTCGACAGGGGTATTCCCTGACAGCATGAAAATAGCAAAGGTAATTCCACTCTACAAGAATGGTGAAAAATGCAAGTTTACCAACTACAGACCAATATCATTGTTGCCTCAGTTTTCAAAAATTCTGGAAAAATTGTTTGTAACCAGACTGGATCGATTCATTGACAAACAAAACATTCAGAGTAATAATCAGTATGGTTTTAGAGCTAAGCACTCAACATCACTGGCTCTCATGGATCTGATAGAAGAAAAACCTACAGCTAATAATCAAAGACAGTATTGTATCAGTGTTTTTGTTGATTTAAAGAAAGCTTTTGATACTATTGATCATAACATTCTTTTAGAGAAATTGAATAGATTTGGCATGAGAGGTCCAGCATTACAATGGGTGTCTAGTTATCTGACAAATAGGAAACAACTTGTTCAACTAAATGAAATAAGATCTAGGCTTGGTAGTATTGCATGTGGGGTCCCACAAGGTTCTGTGCTTGGACCAAAGTTATTTCTTTTATACATAAAGGATTTGGTGAATGTGTCTGAGTTGTTTAAATGTGTTTTGCTTACAGATGACAACATTTTTTGTCAGGGAAAAAAAAGTGGATCTTATGTTGGAAATGATGGAAACTGAGTTTGTAAAAATACAGACTTGGTTTGGGCTTAATAAATTTTCACTAAATTTGGATAAAACAAATTATATGATATTTAGTAATAGAAAAATTATAGTTGATGCATCATTTAAAGTGGATCGTAATGTAATTTGTAGAGTGAGTAAAGTGAAATTTTTGAGTGTAATTATTGATGAAAACCTGACCCGGAAATCTCATATTAATTATCTGAAAACATTGCTGTACTATATAAGGCAAGAGAATTGTTTAACAAAAAAGCACTGCTTATATTGTATAACGCGATAATTGTTCCTCATTTGACTTATTGTGTTGAGGTTTGGGGGAAGGCATGTAGAACGGCTACAAATTCTATTTTTATTTTACAGAAAAGAGCCATAAGAATCATCACAAGAAAACATCACACTCCTCCATCTAACAAATTACTTCATCAATTAAAGTTACTAAAATTTTATGAACTGGTTGACTATGGAATTTTGCAGGTTAAGTATAGGGCTCATACAAATACTTTACCTCGAAATATTCAATCATATTTTATCAAGAGAGTCAGTAATTATAAATTAAAAGGACTAGAGATGTTTGTGAAGCCAATTCGATTAAACTTAAAGGAGCGATGCACGTCTGTTCAAGGAGTAAAACTGTGGAATGTTTTGGATAACGATTATAAAAATGCTTCCTCAATATTTTTGTTTAAGAAAAAGGTAAAAATCAATTTATTGAAAAAATATGAAATGGTTTAATATATCCTTATAGGATTGGTTGTCTTGATACGGAGTCGGTTTTGGTTAGTTTTATTATTTAGA